AGCAGCACCAGCAGCGTCGCTCGTCTCATGGCTGGACCGCGGTGTTTTCCCAGCATGGCGACCAGTGATTCAGTGAAACCGCCACGGAAGACGCGGAGTCGCGTGGTATCTTGCGCCAAAAATATCAGATCCCACATAAACATGGTCAGGTGGCCCGCAAGACGGAGCATGCGTCCGGTCTGAGCCGATCGGAGGCCCCTGCGAACATCAGAGCCCCTGGGGCTATCGAAGTGACCAGGACAATCGGCGGCTCAGCATGCGCTGCGCGAGACTGAGGTCGCGAGGGGCACCATAAGTACGGTCAAGTGCCAATAAAGTATTAGTAAGGATGTGGTTATCTTATGCTACCTGAGAGAACACGTGGGCTCCAAAGGACCAAAGCCCGTAAGAGGGTTCTTGCTAAGCCCTCCTGTCGGTGCGGTAAAGGTCCCCGTTATGCCTCTCTGTCGGTACGGTAAGGGTTCTTGTTATGCCTTCCTGTCGGTACGGTAAGGGTTCTCGTTGTCTCTCAGTCGGTACGGTAAGGGTTCTTGTTAAACCCTCCTGTCGGTACGGTCAGGAATAAGGACATCCAGGACAGAGAGAAGATCCGGAACGATCTGAAGCTTCCATTCCGATGAAGATGTCCCGAGGCGGCCCGGAGCAGCCTGGAGGCGGCACAAGTGCCACTTGTAATGGTTCAAGAGTCGTTGGATCAATGCGAGCAGTCATAAATTGTTGACGTTTACGGCTTAAGAGTGCGACACCGAGGTGACCAAAAGTTTGAATGCGGTTTAAACGGCATCTCTGCCATTTGGCTCGTGAAATGGCCAGGCTGCTTGAAGCGCCGTTTCTCTCCCCCTTCCCCCCTAACCACACACGAGGAAGTTAAATGTCCTCGTGTTGATGGATCAGAGGTAGATTCTGGAGGCTGATAACAATGCATGCATACGCATGAGCGTTGCAACCCCCGGGTTGGTACAGTCCGCACTTCACAGAAAATAGTCTAATCTGACTAAAGTGACTAAGATAACTTTGGACAGATTGGGCTCTTTCTGTGTCTTTGCTTTATTAAATGGCAGTTAACCAGATATGAACATTTTTGGTGCCGTATCCAGGGGAGGGGCTTTTAGGGCTATACCCTTTGAGGTGGCGGCTACCCCGATACGTGTCGGCGTTTAAACCATGACCCGTGTTGCGAAACTACACCCCTGCGTGCGAACGGCGGAGGGGGAGGCGTAATTGGTACGGCACCACCTTTCCAGCAATGTTGAAAATTACCTTATGATCATGCTTTTGAATTATTGGCACCAGAACTGGCTACGGCACCACCTTGTCTGAGGCGTTTCTTCGCCGACTTTTGTCCGTTGATTTTTATGGCTAATAATTAGGCTAGCTCATCGTTTGGCTGATCGATGATGGCAATATAGTCAACTTGAATACGAGTAAAATTTACACGAATGTCTGTAGTGCATGCATTTTCTTAGGCAGACCCACGATCCCCAGATGGTCCCGATCCGCTGCGCGCGGCATGTATGGAAAAACATGTTGAGCGGAATGGGGCACGGAACAAAAGACAACACTCATAGTGCAGATTCATTATTGTGCCAGAGACTTAAGATATTAAATCAATCAAAAATCAGGTTTCAACTGTGCAAAAAAGTCATAATTTTTGTACTTTAGTCAAAATTAATTGGAGTTTAAGTGATATAAGTGCATGTTTAGTTTCCACTATTTGGTTGATTCCAAACAAATCAATGAAGGGGAGGCCACCTTTGGGAGCAGCCGCCTGAGCGCAGCGCGAGAGAATTCTGGCGCTGCTGGTGAAGGATAGCGAGAGGGGATGGGCACGATTGTGGGAGTTGTTGTTTTGGTTTTGTGCGAGTGCTGCTATCCAGTCGTGCAGGGGTGGCATGGATCTTGATGCCATGGAAATGGAGTTAAAGGGAGAATAGGTGTGAGCCGTACGTTAGGATTGACGTGCGTAGCTCCATTATTACGGTTTCCCCACCGTTTATAAAGGTTTGGCGGCGCCCCACATTCGTCCTGCTCCACACCTGCCTTGTGGCCTTACTCTCTCATCTAACTGTAGCATCTGCAACAGGTATGTGTTTTCAGTATGTGCAGCTGTGCATTTTTGCTCATGCCATTAGGCGTGCTATTTGATACCCATGAAATCTGAGCTTATCAGTTTCTGTATAATTCCCTATGTATGTGTTTGTAACAGTCAACCTGATAAAGTTGCGAGCCAAATTGTGTGGAGATCCATTGCTTTTGGGATTTAAAGTGGGCTGTACTATACTATAGCAAAAGGTTATTATCTACTTTTCCATTTCTCTCAAGTTTTGTATCTCCTTTTCTACCAAATTTGGCATAACTCTGCCATGTGGAAAAAACTGCTGCTGCAAATGCTGATATGCCATACTACCTTTTCACCCATGGTAGAGCAAGTGGATATGAGTCTGCCTCTCTGCTGCACTTGGCTTAGTATGATGAACATTGCTTAAAATAGCTTATTGTCTATTGAGCAGAAAGGCTTAGCTTATGCCTTAGTATAGGCTAATTGCATTGCATTTTACATGAATATGTGCATGTTTGTATTTATTTTTGTATATCATAAGATGACCAAGATAATGCTATGACCCAATTGCATGCAAGCTTTCTAAGGGAGTCCTCAACTTTGGATCCAATTGCAAATAATGTGCAACCAAGCAATGAAAAACAAAATCCATTTATCAGGTTATGTGCTAAGTAAAAGCAATTCTATGGTCCTTGTTTTAATATTTCATTATTATGCTACAAACTGATAGTACAATTTTGTATATTTTCAAGCTGATAAGGTTTCAACTATGACTATTGCTTCTCAAAAGTGAAGGTTATGTTTATTTTTGGTATAATTGCATTATTTAATTACCATATTATTATCCTCATGTATAAATAAATGTAAGGCATGTAAATTCAAACATTATACACAACTATGAAAAATATTAATCAACACCAATGTGTCATTAAAGGCATGATTAAGCATTATTAGGTTATCTTCCTTAGGTCAATTTTTTGGCCAACATTGCATGTTGGTTAATAGTACTATTTTTGAAGGATGATTTAATTAACACCTAGTCTTTATATATTACAAGTATTTTGGAGCCCCATAATAATGGTTTGGCTACCTATCAGCTGCATATTGACCATATTTTTGGGTGACTAGATGAATTGATGTAAACAATATGAGTTTGGTTGTATAAGGTTGTGCCTGTCATTCTATTTTGTGCATGAATTTGCATTTATAAATACATACACCCAGGTGATGTGAGGCCAGAAAGTGGCTGTATGAGCAACAGACACAGATACAACTTGTCAAGGATTTTGTTGTGCCTTGTTCACTGCATGCTTGTATCTGGCATAATGCTAGACACAATTCCTATAATATTAGGTGCAATTCTTATGCAATCAGTGAAATAGATCTTAAAAACTGTTCCCTTGACAGCAAGTTAAAGATGTGACAATTTGAAGACAAACCATATTTGTGGCTATTAATATGGATATTTTGACAGCAGCATCAAAAGTTCATGAGATCCTACATTTTTTGTGTTGTGCACCATCTGGTACGAATTGGCCTCATTGGATGCCAACCGGCTGATGACTCCCACAGTAATGGGTCACTTTTGTTGCATTGACAATGACAAAATGTTACTGAATTTCTCTGAGCATTGCACATCTCAGAGTGACAGTGATATCTGAATCTGTTTACCATTGCTTACTGAATGAGCAGGCCTAAATTCATGTGCTGATACCATGTCAACAATATGGTTGTCATTTCTGTTCTACTGAGTCACTACAGGCTCATTTCAACTACTCTTGGCTAAGCACATCCAACTAATGGCCACAGTACCAACAATTTATATCTTTTACTAATTTGCTCAGTACCATGTATTTATTTTTGTGACTATGCAGCAAGTTTGGATTCCAAGACACAGCTCTATCCTTTGTCAAACCAGCTCCCACCAGTGCACTGTGTCTGTATTGCCTGAGCAGAATATGTCGTGGTGACTGGAAGGGCTTTGCCAAAGCCCTACAGGAGATAACAATCTGTGTAAAATTGCATTTTCCATGCATGTGAACCAAAACTACCATAATAATTTGTAACTCAGAGCAAGAAATCGTCCATAATAGGTGTCATATTCCTGACAAAGTCTTGCCATTACACATTGGTTCAGCACCAGCCGTCCGTTCCAGATGGATTCAAGTACAGAGGAGCGACCGCCGTTCGCCACCTACGACCTGGGCGACCGGTTCGAGTGTCCCAGCTCCAATGAGCGCAACACCAACACGCTCTGCTCCAGCTCCGAGAGCGACGTCATGAAGACGCCGTCGGCCGGCGGCGACACGCCCTCGATGGGCGGCGACTCGCCGGGCGTGTTCTCACCCGAGCTGCCGTCCGCCGAGATCCGCGCGCCGCCGGCGCCGCTGGCGGCCGCCACCGCCCCGGCGCCGCCGCCCGCCGCGCCGCCGCCGGCCAACGGTCAGCTAGCGCCGACAGCGGCGCCGGCGCCGCCGCTGCTGGCGCCGCGGCTACTGGCCGAGCCGGACGCGATCGCAGCTTCCCCTCACCGCGCCGCCGAGTGCGACTGCCTGCTCTGCGACGCCACATTCCACCCCCGGCTGGGCGAGGGCCTACGCCGGCGCGCCGGCCGGGGACGCGGCCGCGGTCGCGCGCGCACCACCTACCACAGCCAGATCTCGCCAGAGGCCAACTCCATCAAGCTCAAGATCCGCGTGGAGACGCTCGACCCGGATACGGCCGGCGCGCGGCCGGCGGCGCGGCGGCGGCGCCCCCGGCACGCCGACAACGAGGAGGACGGCGCGCCGCGGACCAAGCGGCGGCGCCGCTCGCGCAAGGCCCGCCTGGAGGACGGTGACGGTGAGGATGGCGCATCGGCACCGGAGCCGGCGTCGCGCCGCCGCTCCAAGTCCGTCTCGCTGACGGCGGCCGAGGAGGACGACCGGCCACAGGGCCGTGGGGCGACCGGGTGCCGGTCGACGTGCTGCTAGAGATCCTGGGTCATGTGGTGCGGGACGCCGGCGGTGCGGTGCCCGCTCTGCTGCGTATGTCGCGTGTGTGTCGCCTCTGGCGGACTGCGGCGCTCGAGCCGTCGCTCTGGCGCTCCGTCGACCTGGCCACGGGCCTCATCCGCGACAAGTTCCGGCACGAGCGACTGCTCCTCTGGCTCATCGAGAACCGGCTCTCCAAGACGGAGGAGCTCAATCTGGGTGAGTGCTTTCGACAGTGGGGCGGCACGAGCATGACTGAACACGTGGTCAGATGATGCAAAATGCGGCCGATACGTAGATGCTTGGGGTTTTAACCAGTCCGTTGATGTTATGTACGTCTGTCAGGCTGTTCGTGGTGTTCAAAAAAAGAAACTTCTCCATTGGATGTGTCTTTGCGTTTTGTTTGCTGCTCCACACATTGGTGATAACTCAGCACCTTCCTAGCTGTCGAAATGATTGGTAATGGTACTTTTATCCTATTTATGTTTTATTTACTGGATTGGTATTGGTATCGGGGCTTGGTATACCGCTCCCTGCCCGTCGATTCTGATCGCCGTTTATTCCATCGACTGTGATCTGCACGTAGACCCCCAGCGGGCCGCTGTCAGCAAAACGGTCCAGGTGTGTCACTGTCGATCGCCTTATATTTTAGACAGTCTGATAAAAGGTTTTGTCAGTTGTTACTCTCTCCTGCTTGTGTAAGCTTTGGAAACTGTTTTCCCCTGCCTTGGCAGTGCATGAGTATAGGCTAAACTTTGGGTTGACCTTTAATAATGTCAAAGGTTATAATGTGCCACTTGTAATTCGGCTCAGATTACGTTTGCACGCTGCGGTGGGTAAAGTATTCATGCACTTCAGACAGAAGATGCTCGTGACTTCAAGACTCATGATTTATTTCAGACCTGATGCCCAGTGACAGCATCATGCGAAATGTGATTGAATCAATTCCCTCCTTCTGTCCGAACTGATAAAAAAAAGTAAAAAAAATAAAAAATAAAAAAGTCACCTTACGATATGCAGATTGTGCCGCCTTTGTGCTCCACGCACGATGCATGTTGTTTTATGTTATATCTGTGGTCTGTTGAGAAATAGAGCGCGTTACTTACTTTTGACATTTGCTAGTGCTGGTGCTATTTGGTTGCTTTTTATTTACTATGGACAATGGTGATATCTTCCTGGACTTGCGTTAAAGAGCTTGCTCGTTGCTTTTCACTCATATGTTGTGGGTTCATGGTAGTCGCAGGCCCCGGCGCGCTCTTTCCTCGCCAACTGGCTGACTGATCCCCCTGTCCGTGATGACCTATCGGTGCTTTATTATTGTAGAGACCTTGTTCGTGCACACTCGTGGTCCTCTCGCCCCGGCCCCCGTCTGTCCGAACCGAGTCTCCGATCAGTCCGTGTCAGTTTCCCGTTTGTCCCCTGTCAGAACCGATGGTTCTACTCATCGCTTCATACCGACATCCGCGTCCGTGTCTCCTGACTCTCTGGCCTTCAGTCCGCGCCAATCCCTCTGTCTGCGTCATCATCTCACTGTCACTTATCCGCTGGTCCGGAACGCCGTCCGGCCCCGGTCCCGGTCCCGGTCCCGGCCCTAGCCCTAGCCCTAGCCCTAGCCCTAGCCCTAGCCCTAGCCCTAGCCCTAGCCCTAGCCCTAGCCCTGGCCCTAGCCCTAGCCCTGGCCCTGGCCCCTGGCCCTGGCCCTGGCCCCCGGCCCCCGGCCCCCGGCCCCCGGCCCCCGGCCCCCGGCCCCCGGCCCCCGGCCCCCGGCCCGTCTGACCGTCGTCCGTGCGCCGACAGCCGGCTGGTCGAGCGCGCTGAGTCCGCTGACGGTGCCGGCGTTGTGCCGCGGCTGTCCGGAGCTGCGCCAGCTCAGCCTCTCCGGCTGCCGCCGCCTCACCGGCGACGAGGTGACGCTGCTGGCCGGCGCCGCCGAGCGCGTGCACACGCTGGACCTGTCGGACCTGCAGCCCAACTCGGCCACGGCCCGCTCGCCGGTCGGGCCGCACAGCATGCAGGAGCTGGCGCGGCTGATGGGGCCGCGGCTCGTCAGCCTCACGCTCGCACACAACTGCGTGGCCGGCATGCAGCAGATCGTCAACGCGCTGGCCGTGAGTGCCGCCGGCGGACGGTGCGCGAGCGGCCGGCGGACGGGGGCCGGGGAAGTGGTGACGTCATGTGGCGATGGGCGGGCGAGGTTATTGGATAGCGTTGTGGGGCGGCGGTTTCTGTTCCTGCAATGCTGGTAGCATCGGTAAAGGGCTTATTTTTCACTTTGCGGCGGTGGACTGATCCTGGTGTTAACGAGTCTGGTGGAGTTGTTATGTCGACTGGTTCCGGCTATCTTGGGTTTATGGATGTCTGTTTCATGCTGCTTTGTATGGATTCAGGGTGGATATTTTTCGTACATATTCTGGAAGCGTCTTAAATTGGCTCCGTGGTTTAGTAGGTGAAGTGCTTCCCTTTATATATGATCGTGAGTGTTCGCATTGCATCACATAGCGTCAGGTCGTCCCTATAATTAACCTTGCGTTTGATTAATGGCATAGGCATGCAACAGCACGCCGTGCTGCGGCGCCCGCTGACGTGCGGTGCCGCCTGTGCTCCGCGTCTGACGGCGTGCGCGCGCCCGCGCCGCCCGCAGGACCACTGTCCCAGCCTGGAGGTGCTGGACCTGTCCAACATCATGAACGCCATCCGTGACATCGTGCCGGTGCGCGTGGAGCGGCTGCAGGCCGGCTGTCCGCGGCTGCGCGTGCTTCGCTGGACCAACACCGAGCTCCGGCTGGCCGACACCACGCTCAAGGAGCAGGTGAGAGGCGGCGAGGGCCACTCGGCTGCCGTACACACGGACGGTTCGGACAGCAGCAGGCAGCCAGTGTCCCTCTCTGCGTCTGTGGTCCGGTGCATAACTGCCGTCTGTCTGGAAAGGTGGCAAGCTTTCTGCGTCACGACGGAGGTTTCATTGCTGTCTCCGCTGCTGCCAAACCGGCGGAAATATTTGGTCTGCCCACAATATCTGCTTGTCAAGTATGGGGCTGTTGCCGGCCACTGAAGGCTTCTTTTCGGTGCTGACAGAACTCCGTGTTATTCCGACTCCAATTTTGGATCCTGATAAGCAGTACATGAACACCGCAACACCAGATGTTCGCAGCAGTTTGCAAACGCAGAGACTAGCGTGGGTGGGTCACGTGTAAAAATGCAATGGCCGTATGAGTGGGCTGCGCTTAATCGCGAAGCAATGGTGATCGTTGTCGGTGACGTCACCGGCCTCAATGCCGAGCACCTCAGCCGCTGTCCGCTGACGCGCGTGTGCCTGCCCCTCGCGCCAGATGTCGGCCCAGGGCTTCCCGGCGCTCGAGGAGCTGAGCGTGGCCGTGCCCAAGGGCCGCCACTGGGGGCTGGACGACGCCGGCGTGGAGCGCGTGCTCAAGGCGTCGCACCAGCTGCGCCTGCTGGACGTGCGCGGCTGCTCGCGGCTCTCCGACTCGAGCCTGGTGCGCGTGCCCGCCTGGAACCTGCAGCACCTCTTCCTGTCCGGCTGCGAGGTGACGCGCACGATGGCCGACCGGCTGGAGCTGATCGTGCGCAAGTGGCGGCACAGTCTGCTGGAGCTCGACCTTAGCTGGGCCAGCAACCAGCCGGCGCTGGACGCGGCGCTGCTGGCGCTGGCCGAGCCTGACCTGGAGCAACCGCCGCCACCGCTGCGCAAGCTGGACCTGTGCGGCGCGGCCGGCACGTTCGCACCCGTCTGCCGGCTGGTGGCGGCGTGTCCGGCGCTGCAGGAGCTCAACTTGACCTCGTGCCGCGCCCTGCCGCGCGGCGTCAAGCGCCACTACCGCGGCGACGAGCTGGAACGGCTGAGGGTGGACATCGCCGCCGGCAAGTACCGCGACGAGCCGGCCGCCGACGACGGCTAGCGCGCACCGCCGCCGCCGACGACGGCTAGCGCGCACGGCCGCCGCCGCCGCCGCCGCCGCTGCTGCTGCCGCTGCCGCCGCCGCCGCTGCTGCTGTTGCCGCCGCTGCCGCTGCCGCTGCCTAGTCCAGGCGCGAGGCGGCCCGCCTGCGGGGCGCTCTCTGGCGGCCGTCTCGCCCAGCGCCGCGCCGCCAGTACTGCCGCCTGCCGTGCCGGCCCGCCACTCGTCGCGCTCTTCCGTTCGCCGGGCGAGCTCCGCTCCGCGGTGGAATCTCCCCCGGATGGTGTTCGACTATTTTTGCTAACTGTTTGCTGGCACCGCACGCGGGGCCGTGCGCAGGTGGCCTGCGTTGCAGCTAACAGTGTGTGCTGCTTGGCGGGAGCGTCGGTCGGAGCCGCGCTGCCGCCTGCCAGAGTGCTATATTACTGTTGCCAGTTTACTTGTAGATAATGTCTCGTTGATAACACGCGCATGTGCAGTGTGTGTACATACCGAGGTCGTATCATCCATGGGCTTGTGACGAGGGCGTGACATGTTTGCTCTCGGCTTGCTATCCCCCTTTCGTTCGGTGGCTCTTAACTTCATTCTTACGTGAAGTCTTGTGTCGTCTGCGTACTAGACTCGTCATGAATCACAAATATGTAGAGCTTAGGACTGAAGTATTGACTGTGCGCCTTGGGGGTTCGTGTTAGTTATTTACGCGTCGCTGAAGAGCCGGGGTGGTTTTATATAGAGCTGTCTATATCTTGTAGATGGCAGGACATGCTGAGGGGGTCGTTACTGCAATGCCACGCGAGGAAGGGTTTTCCCACGGCGGCAGGGCGTGTACAAAGTGTGTACAAATGTTAATGATTTTGTGTCTCCAGGATTATTTCGTTCAAAACGAAATCTTGGTGTGAATACCTTCTGAAGTGCTTGCGCCTCTAACTTGTCTGTCACCTACTGCGAACTCAATCTGTTCAGCAAGATATTAATTTTCATGTTTATGCAAATACATCTCGAAGAAATGCGTTGTGCTTGTTTTAGTCCGCCGTGACTGTGGACATTGTGATAAGAATGGATCACCATCTCCAATCGTTGTTATCATCATCATCTTTGTGTTTATCGGAAGGCTTTGTTCTGAAACCAGAAATATGCATCCAGCGTTGGGTTGCTGATTGGATTTGCGGTTTCCCCAGCGTACAGTGTCAGTTGATTGCGCGTGGGCTGAACTGATGCCAGCCCGAACCACAGTTCATGGTCTTGAATTAAGCACCGATTCCGATTAAAGGCTTTTAGTTGCGGGCACATTCCGTTTCCTTTTTGAGAACATGGCTGGAGGCCAGAGGTGATGTCAGGGAAAACAGTGGGGCCGCATTCAAAGCCGACTCCGATCAATGCTGAAGACCCACGTGGATGAACAACGGCATGAACCCGGCCTTCTCACTACAAAATATATATACATATAGTCCCCAGGGAAATATTGCACTGAAAGCGCCCAATAGACACTGGCGGGGGACGAGGGATGCAATGATAGGGGTGAGAGCATTGACCATCATCGCATAAAGGATACCGAAACTAAAGCTTATAGACAGTCACTATTCAGAAAGCGTGCAAAGGGATCAGATTGATGCGGTGGAAAATCTGTATTTAATGACAACATGGCATGCAGAGGTCCGCTGGCGTTCGCGCTGCAATTCACGAATCACCTAGCTGGAAGTGGTCGGCTCTGTGCTCTCGAAACAGCAGACTAGCATTCTCAGTCAGCAGAATCAGTAAATTACGGATGGAATAACTGTCCGGACCAACATCGCCGTCTGCTGTGTTGGTACTGATTGACGAGCAAGATAGCCGGAACACTTACTCCGTCCGTGACACTAAGGCGGCGTCTCAATCCTTCCGTAGGACTAGAATCAATATATCTAAAATGGATGTCCGTGCTCGCTGTCGGTGACCGAAGCGTGGCTAAACACTCCGACACTTGCGTGGAGAGTAGTCAGAGTGACACACACGACACGTCCACGATGTCTGCGTGACCCGAGCTGTCGGCCTGGGCCGCGGCGCCTGCACCAGAGACAGACCTCGGAAAAGCGTTGCCTTAGTGCCCTAATACCAGTCACTATTAGTGCCCTGAGATCAGCCACTATTAGTGCTCCCGATCAATCACTTGCTGACCTACCGGCCGGATGTTCACATCTACTGTTGGCGTCAAAACGCGTGAGGTTCCGGTTGTCGGCGAAAACGTTTGAATAAAACATGGATCAAACATTGCAGTGTACGTTCCGGATCATATGCTTTTTTCTTACAAGGTTCGTCGGCATCAAACGAAACTTAAGACGGCTTCCACTCATGACAGACCCAAGGGAGATGTTCCTTGTGGGTAGAGACCGCCGTGACGCACGCCCCGAGCTCAGAGTGGATCCCCGCACTATCATTTGATCCGGCGCTGTCTGATCTGCGTGCACTCAACTGGATTCTTGTGGTGGCCGCAGAGGCACGCGAGTTGACTCGATGGCGTGCATACCTCGTGACAAGGACTGCCAAGATGTGTTGATTTCGCTACCGTCGTACGTTTGGAACTGTAAGAGAAACTTCTAACGTTTGCGAATCTGCGACATAATAATTTATTTTCAATCGCTGATTTATTTTTCTGACCAGCCATCAATCTGCTTCTCCATCAACACCGTCGACATGAACTCAAAATAACCTCTAAAGCTTTGAGGCCAATGATGGGGGCAAGGAAGTGGGGTTAGGCAGTTATTGCTGCAGCAACTCAACGTGCGCCCGGGTGGCCTGTTGGATACCCTTCGCTCGGGTGGGGGTATCATTATTCTCTCTTTGACCCCCCTGAGATCTCAGGAACTAACAAAGCTAGAGACACCAAATTCACAGGATGTGTCGACCTGTACATGAACTCGCTTAGGTCAAAGTGTAATCTTCCTGGGTCATGACCTTCGGGCAAGTAAGGTCAAACAACATAAAGTTCCAGGTTGGTCGCAAAAGGGCCCCTAGAACCTAGGTAGCTGTTCTAAGCAAAAGGTCACGTGCCCATCTAAGGTCAGTGACCTTTTTTAACCTTTTGAAGGCCATGGTGATCAAAACCATACAAGACCGCTCTGAGTTTTGCATTTGGATAAGCGACAAAGATAACGCTAGGCAGTATGTTCCTGAAAACAAAATGATGACCTGGGTCATTCTAGGTCAGTGACTTATTCTGGCGTCTAGGAAGTCTATGAAAGGTGTATAATGCGGTTTCTGTCATCAGTAAATTCAAAATTCATTCAACAGCAGATTAACGATGTCAAAAGCGCAGCTGGTCCCCGTTTTTTATTCGTTGGTCCCACCGTGCGAGCGCTGAAAGCAATAATAGTTTTAAACAACTATAGTTGCAGCATTCCAGCGCGCTCGGACGCTGGAACTCGCCGAAACTATTTTTTACATCGCTCGTAAGTCCCAACAATACACTGCACTGTACGCGAAATATATGAGGACCAGGTGACGCTGGTTAAATAGTAACCTGAAAAACATTGATACCAATTGTATATTCTCGTTAGATGTCCATATTTTACCATGCTGCAACCCCTCCGACCCTTCCCTGCAGGACGGCAGTGCCAGCGGGACCGACGGCGGCGGAGGTCAGGCGGGTCACGAGTAGTGGGCGGAGCCAAGGACAAAGCTACGGAACGACCGGGCGACAAGCTCTAGTCTGCACGGTCTCACTTTCTCTTTATCTTCACGAGAGAATAGAAAGTGCACCTAATTTGTCCTTGACATTAACTAAGCACGTGGGTTAAAACATCCACAGCAAAAACTTGATCCATGCCAAATGGTTGGATCGAAAGTGACCGCCGAAAAACGGGGACGAGGGCGGGGCCTGATACCTGCCCGTGTTGCCGGGACCAGGAATCAATCCGCAAAACTTTCCAAACAGGCGAATCCCTTTTTTATGCTCGAGTCTCTGACTCCCACCGCACGTGTAGGCCCACACATTTGACAACGCGATTAGCCGCTCTCCCATCCGCCACGCATTTGTGGTCTTGTGTCGCGAAGGTGCAGAATCGCCGAGCTCCCGACTCCGTTCGAATATGTGCAGCCTTGTTGCAATAAGCACGTTTTTCCGAGCAAGTCGCCTGCCGCCCCCGCTGATCTCAGGATCATGTGTTGGGCTCACCCAAGCGGCAAAGGGTACGAGTCCCAGAGCGGGTGCATTGTCTGGTACAGCTGACATGGAAAGGTCAGCTGGCAAGTAGCCAAGAGCGTCAGCCTGACCCGGGATGGCTGTGTTGTAATGTATGGCATGTTAGACCCGTCTCAGTCCTGTATCAAAAAAGCCGGTGGTTAAATCATGCTATGAACTGGATCAGCCCTGGCGCGTGTTTCAGACTGCTTAGCGAGTGGTCTGAAGCTAAATAGTTCATGCCACCCATTTGGAGCAACTCCATAAGAAAGCTTTAATGTGGAAAGCCACGTTTTATTTACACGCCGCGATAAAGCGAGACACTCCCTATTCAAACAGCTTGGATGCGCCCACGGCCGTGCAAGACCTGCAAATTCCTGAACAACTGAATGCCACATGTTTTAAAGAACAGCACGTGTTGTCACTGAAGACTGCACAAGGCCTTGCTCATTCGTCACAAACATTTTCTTCTAGACAGGTACTGGCCTGGACCGAGCCGCACAGTCTCAAAACTTGATGGCTGTTCAAGTAAGAGTCGCTTGGCTTGTTTGGTTTATGGGACAGTTCAGATCCCGCATCAACGCCTGCCGACCCTACAACTGGTCCGGCGCTATCGCAAAACTGGCCCAAGACCAACGCTGCCGACACTGCAACTGGTCCGACGCTGTCGCAAAACTGGCCCGAGACCAACGCTGCCGACACTGCAACTGGTCTGACGCAAAACTGGACCGAGACCAACGCTGCCGACACTGCAACTGGTCTGACGCAAAACTGGACCGAGACCAACGCTGCCGACGCTGCAACTGGTCCGACGCTGTCGCAAAACT